TAAATCCCCCACACCCCCCCCCGCCCGCTTCAGGGGAAGAAGGAGTGAGGGAAAGAAAACACAAACAGGTCTTAAACTTGCCAAGGTTGAGAAACACTGAGTTAGACTGACAAAGCACTTGAAAATGATTCAAGGAGCCATAATGGGTTCTGAAAGCTAGGCACTCAAATTACTGCATGGTAGTTATGAATGAAAAGCATTTCATTCTGCCCTTGATCAGTAATAGATGATGTGATCTTTCTTCACCTGAGACAGCAAAACATAGGGAATTCAACTCTTTTTGCAGGTTTGATTGCTTGTATATTGCTCCAGGTTTTGTCTTCTGTTTTTAACAGATTATCCAGTGGATTTCTGACAATGTGTCAACTTGTTTTGCATTTGATCCTATACAAGAACTTATCATTGGTAGGTGTTTCTACGCCTGTGTCCTACTACAAGGGTGCCGCGGTTAGGAATATGTACCCTTCAGAATGTATATTCAGAAGTATGCAAAGGTAACACAATGACCACTGGTTTCACAAGAAGCTCATGAAAAAATGAATTGAAATGGAGCAGTGGGAGGAAGATTTCTTTCACATTGGTCTCCTCTCTTACATTAACACTGAAATGCTGTACCCCATTTAGTGATAGTAAGCTCAGCTGAATTCAGTGGGACTCCCTTGTGAATAGAGTTATGTAGAAGAGTACTGCTAATTTTCACAGAGCTGTGCAGTATTTTACTTGATCTAATCAAAAGCTCATCTTTCTGTCGATGTTCTTAGCTTCTTTATACTGGAAAATGTGTCTGGAATCCATCAACTTGGAAAAGCTTTTACCCTACACTTCACTGCTGAACTGGAAGGAGGTGAGAGATGTTCTAAACAGGTCTTTCTGTCATTAAAGTAAGAGACAAGTCTGGGTTTCAGATAATCTTTGAAAAATGAGCTTACAAGGTCCTCTCCTTGCTCATAACAAATCTGTATGACTTTTTATGGTCATACCCATCATATGATGTCTTGGCATCTGTAAAAGGGTGCTTAAAAGTATTTTAATTGGTTTTTACAAAACAGGCTTCTCTGAAACAGAGGTCTAGAAGAAGAGTACTCCCCCTCCCTGCTTTAAAGGCAGCCTGTTCTTCCAGTTAAATAAACGATTAGCTCTAGGCAGAGGGAACTCTGTTCCATTTATGTATTTTGCCTGAAAGCTTATGCTTGTTATTCCCATATTTGTAGGATGTTCCTGGAATTCTGTGTAAAACACACATTATCTCATTACCATTTTTAAAGGTAAGTCTGCATATGACAATAGCAACATGCTAACATTACGGTGTATGGCGTGCTTGATACTTCAATTTTCACTTGTGTTTCCTGCAGTAAAAACCCCATCATGGAATAGTGTTAATAATTAGTTAATCATTACAGAAGAGATTTCCTTGGACTGTTTCCATTGTATTTACGGAGAGATGATGCTTTGGGTTCAACACTGGTTCTTAATATTTGTTTGTTGACCTTTTTAAAACTGCTTTATTCTTTGGGATTACTCGGTTGGTTCCGGCATAACATCCAAACTTTGTCTTGGCAATCTCATTTCCATCTTCCCTGAATTCCACAATCCACAGTCTGATTCCAAACCAGAACTGGAAATCACTCGAAACCTTCTCCTGTATGGTTTGGCTAAGAACAGTTCATAGTTGCAATCTTTTTTTAAGTTACCACTTGAGGTCACTACTGCTCTACGTTCATTCTGAGCAATTATATCAAACAGCATATTTGTTGCAAGGAGTAAGGCCTCCACGTTCTATAACTAGCATCATGACATAGTATCGTTAACGTTTAAATTTGGAGATAATTCTAGCTCTTGGAGTTGTATTCAACAGAGCAGTGCCAGTTAATCCACGAGGACAAATCAGATTTAGATTTTTTACTGATTCTTTCTAAGCAGGAATTTGCAATAGAATGAACACTTGCGCCCTTTCCTTTCTGAAGCACAGCTGAACCCGGTATTTTTCTTTTCGTTTGCAATTGTTGCTGGGTGACCACATTTCGATGAATTGAGCATACGGTGTGGTGTGTTTAATGTTGGTATTATAACTGTAGGAGAACTGGGGAGGTCATGCCGTGCAGGAAAGTGGATTTTAAAATAAAAGGTGCTGCAGAGCTGTGTGAGCAGGCGGTAAAAACTTATCATTTAAAAATGGCTAAGCTAAACATTATTATCATCATTCCCTGTGCACTAAAAATGAGTGGGAAGGTGATACATTATGTATGTTGCCTTGAGCTGTGCAAGATAAAAGTGGGAATATAAATCTAATAAGTAAATTAAATGCCAGGTCCTCCTCCTCTAATTTTAAGCTCTTTTAATACTACTCACTTTAGATATTGTATTTATCATATTTTTAAAAACTTTATTAGTTGTTCTTTATCCATATTCCTACGCCATCCAGCTGCAAAGATCCTGAGGGTATTATAGACATCAAAAATAATTCCCAAAGAAATCCCAGCCTTAACAAACAACGGGTCAGTAACATAGCAATTTCACTCTTACCAATATCGTGGCAAAGAAGCTAAATACAATCGGCCATTTTGCATAACGTTTCGGAGGAAATAACTCTTACAGAAAAATCCTCTCTCTTTCTTCCCATTTGTTTGTTTGAGGTACAAAACTGCAAAGGTTTCTGGGAAAAGTTAAACTTGAACCTGGAATATGTGAAATATGTTGAACCGCCCTTGCATTTCAGCCACCAGGTGCTTAGGAGGGAATGGAATAAGTTGCTTTCAGATCAGGTAAGTGACTCCCTGATTGGATAGATGCTATTTCAGATTGATTAATCCAAGAACAGCTGTTCATGTGATGATCTCCCTGTGGGTCTGAATAAAATAATCTATGTCAAATCGTTGGACTATCTCAGAAAAACTATTGGGTCAGTGCAAATCTTGCATTGTGATGTTCTACAAAGTTTTTCAGGACTGAAATTGTAAATTGCAGAAATAATGTTACTTGACACTTAACTTATGTAAGGAGTAACATTTCCCCCAATCATTCCTTTCCGTTCAGCAGAAAGAAGATTTAACAGCATGACTTTGGGCATATCTTGTAATTGGTAGACCATGTTTGTGTCTCCGGAGGATGGCTTGTATCATCCAGTATAGAAAAGCTGTAGAAGAGTGTAATCTTACTCTGAATCCGCTGTTACGTGATTTGAAATAACTTATTCAGAAATGCTTTTACTTTGTTATTAAGAAATGTGTTTCCATAATCCACTTCACTTTGAGTATGAATTGAATTTAACCTTATGGGGTTGATGGAAACTGTAGGAGACCAATGCAAGCTTTGTATCTTGCACATTGAAGATATATTTGATCCAAAGACCATTTCAGCCCTAATTTTCAGCTCACAAATGAGTTTGAGGTTCAAGTTTCTGCTCTCATATTGCACAGCAGCAAGGAGATAATTGAAACATCTACCTGTAAACAAGTACTTTGGGGTTTTCCCTTGGGCGCTGTGGCTTATTTAATGTGATTTTTTAGCATGATTTCAGATCCCGTCTTCCAAAATTAGAACTCAAACAAGAAAAGTACAAGAAGAGAGCAGAATCTTATGAGCAGTGTTTCTCAATCTTGGCAACTTTAAGATGTGTGGTCTCAATAGCAGAGGGTACATCTTTTATTTTAGAAACACCCCTACTTTGGGGGGCTCATTTTCTAAGTTGCTAACCTTTTTGTGGCTAGCAACTGTACTTCTTAAAACTATTATTTTCAACAGTCAAAGGTCAGTGGGGTCAGGTAATGACATAATATTAAGCAAGTGGGCAAGTCAGTTTGTTAAAGAGTTGGTTGACTTAGTTTTTTGTCTGTGGTTCATGCACACCTGCCCACATAGACAAACTAAATAGTTGCCTAGGGCATCAAGTTAAAAAAGACAAAATTTAGAGGGGAAAAATAAATTTTAAAAGTCCAATTTTTTTTTTTGGTAGGAGTATGGCTGTTGATTGCATAGTTCACCTAAGGTGCCAGTTGCTAGAAACTAGTATAGCACTACCAAGGTCATATACGCTGTCTTTGTTCCAAATTTGGCATGAAATTGTGCTGAAATGTTAGGGGATTTGCTGGCAGTTTTCAGCAACATGATATTGGGGGTCATGTGTGGCAGCTGCAAAAGAAAGATGAGATCCAGCTGTTGGGACTGCCTACCCCTCTTCTACAGTATTAATTCAAGAGCGTATGAAACTATGTCTTTTATATATTGAGTGCAGTTTTATTAAATATTGAGAGAGTAAATTGGGCTACTTTGTATAACCTTGTTCAAACTTGTTTTAGAAGACTGCAGCAAGAACAACTTACATCAAAAGCATATTTGAAAACACAAAAAAGTGAGTTGACAATCTTCCCAGCTTTAATTAAATGGAAGGCATTTATCAGTCTTCAGTACATTACAAAATGTAATGGCCTTAAATGGTTAGTTGTCCACAGTTCTCAAAACTCAGTTGTGAATTGATGTCCCCAAGGTACCACAGTATTCTCTGGAAGGGATTAAAAATCTCATGCCTCAGCATTTTACAAAGTCAATAAATCAGCTGCATCAAAAGGCTGGCAGAGAAGTTTCACATGCCTCTACTGATCTGATCTGGTCTGATCTGTTAAGCTCCTGATTTTTTCATCCTCAGTTCTACTGCCTACTGATCACTTCAATAGGTTATATGATTGGTGTTCATCAACATGACATTTTTGTTGAGCAAATACTAGAGAAGTAGCATTTTTGAGTGGATGCACAAGAAACTACCAGGGGAAGTTGGAGCTGTTCTTGGCCTGAAGGGTGAAAATATGTATTTTATATGCATATGGAACATGGGGCTGAAGTACTTCACCCCGAAGTTTGTTTGCATTGGGCAGGAATGTCCCACTAAAGTTAATTCAGTATTTGTATAGCAGATTGGCTCATTTCTAAAGGTGACATGATTTGAATTTTGTTGTTAAAAGTTAAAAAGCAAGTAATCATCATCGCAGAGTAGAATGGCATTCATGACATAACTGTATTTCCAGCAGCATTCATGAAGAAAACAGCTGTTCCAGTAGGCCAGTGGCTGTTTCTCATAATATTAGAAAAGATAATACATTCCCACTAATTCTTCCTGGTCCCCTTTTCATTTGCATTTATTATACAAACTGACAAGTATCATTTCATTATACAAACCAATAAACATGGTTGTTGGATGGCTTGACTTTTTAAAGTCATTGAAACTGTTAAGAAATGTCGCTTCTTTTCTTCTAGGGTGCTTTCCAGTTTGAATACATGGGAAACAGGTAAGATGCGTGTTTATTGATCTCAAAAGGCTGTAAATAGTAGCATCCCTCATCATGGCCATGCTGAGGGTCATTGCTTCACAGGATCTGGAGGATCATAGGTTTCTTACTCTGCTTTTGCCAGAAATCTACAAGGCATCTGGCTGTAGAAACCTTGCTCCAGCTTCAGTCCATTTCTCCATGGATTGAAGGAATCTTGTCCTTCTCTGCACAGACAGACCCTGTACAGGAAGTGGGTTTCTTGGGCTGAGTGGGTGAGACATTAGAGAGCATGTTATATTGAGCAGTGGGAAGATACATCATTGACTTCATCTAGTCTGTGAAGAATTGCTGAGGTTCAATCTAGTCCTCGGACTGATTAGGTTCCTCATCTCTATTGTGCTTTCCTACTTTGAATATAATGTGAATCCTACAGGATTCATGAACATAAAGGCTGTTAGTATTACTGAGAGAAGTGTATAAATTAATCCCTCTAGGTTAATCTTTAAATTTGGTGGGGTGAAACATGGAATATGGTAGTCATTATGTTTAAGTAAGTAAAGTGTTTTGCTTGCTTAGATGAGTTTTTCTTCAGACAGAGTAGATGTTCTTCTAGAGCAGCATCACTTGTTTTCTTCTTCAAAGAGTTTATACATTCTGTAACTTATAAATGCCCAGTTCAGAAAGAGAAAGGGCTTTCCCTTATTTCGACAAATTTTATGATTTTGCTGGTTGTGACTTGTAATGAGGAAAAACAGTTTCCTGGAAATGGTAGCTCTTTTCTTGAACTTTGTAGAAAGACAACTGAGCATATCTTGAATAGCCATGTGTGGGTTTGTTGTTTTAATCGTATAAGCTTGTAGAGAAGCTTGTTCCTGTGGTGGCTGGTGGCTTGTATGGATAAACTGTGGTTTACATATTGTCTTGTAGATTAGAAATGGCTGTGGCATGTCTTGAGAACATCAAGATACTGATTTTCAGGAAGTTAGATATTTATACATACTAGCATAGCATATGAACAAGGAGAATGAATTATATTAATTCGTAATGGAAAAAGACAAAGCTACACACACACACACACACACACACACACACAGTAGTAACAGTTATTTTTTTAAAGGATCCTGTGTTTGTTGTGCTTCTATCCATTATTTGGTGGAAATGTTTAAAACAGATTACAGGTAGTCCTTGGGTGTTGATGGCAATTGGGACTGGCATTGCCATTGCTAAGCAATGCAGTTGTAAAGCATGGTATCACGTGTCCATGTCGTTTAGCAACAGAAATCCTGGTTGCCATCATTAAGCGAGGACCTCACGTGACCGCAACTTCTGGTTCCCTGCTAGCTTCTCCATTGACTTTACTTATGGGAAGCCGGCAGAGAACATTGGAAATCGTGATCATGTGACTGCAGCTCACTGTGATACTGTAAATGAGATCTAGGTGCCCAGATCATGATCACGTGACTGTGGGGATACTGCAACAGCCAGAACTCCGAGGACCCGTCATAAGTCTCTCTGTTCAGTGCCATCGCAAGTTTTAATGATTGCTGAATGAGCGGACGTAACCTGAGGACTCCTTGTATGTGTTACTCATTTTCTTCTGCATCTCCCATTAAAATGAATATCAATTGAAATCTGTTATGACATTTCTAATGTCTGTTATTGCATTGCTGGTAATCAAAACATGTTAAAATGTGAAAGCCTTGAATAGCACTTAGAAGAAACTAAGAACTGTTTCTGTTTGCAAAAAAAAAAAAAAGCTTCTGTTTGCAAAACAATATTGAAATGTAGCACTGGTTTTCTATACTAGCCATTCTCTTTTACTTTCAGAAGAAAGGATAGCTCCTCTTTTTCAAGATGAGGATTACCAGCAACGCTTACTAACAGGACTGGTATGTGCATTCTCCAGCTGACAGCATGAAGTATTTAATAAGAATTATCAGAAAATATAGGTATTATTGTCTGACTCCTTTATGAGCTTCTGTTTCCTTTCATAGGCAAAACAGCTATGCGGAAATGCTCGTAAACATTTCAGGCAGAAAGTGCCTACTTAGCACATTAAAAAGATAAGGTCTTGCTCAACTTAAGTTCAACTCTTGGTGATTTCATGGACACATCCATGTAGATATCTTGGCAACAATGTAGAGGTCGTTTGCGTTGCGTTCTGCCAAGATATTTTTTTGGCTTTCTGGTTTTACAGCTCTGAGGTTTCTTGGTGTCTCTATTCCAAGTATTAACTGGAACCAACTGCGTTTAGTCTTTTCAAGATCAGTTAAAGTTGGCAAGTTGTTGCCATTTAACATTAGAGCTGTTATACCACCTCCTAATCTGATTGTGACACTTCGGCAGTAGATGGCTGAAAAAGGCCCACTGAACAGAGAAATAGTTTTTTATGATCGGAGAGCAGAAAGACCACTGAATCGCTCCCTTGCTAGCATCTTCCATCTGAGACATCCTTAGCAATTGGGGTTCTAGTCTTTTGTTGCTAGTTCTCTGGAACAGATACTGTGATTTACACCCCCCCTCTTTTTGTTGTACAGAAAATTCCTCAGTTGGCTTACTGTTCACAACTCACAAGAATACTTCTTGATAGCAGAAGTAATATGATTTGGTGGCTCTTGGGTTACAGACCTAAGATTATGCAGGGGAGTTATGTTTGTTATGTTGTCATGTATTATAAGTTGGCATGCTTTAATATTTGAATTTTAGTTGTTCACATATTTTTACAGATGGTGGCACAGTTGAAAGATCATCTCCTAAGACCCCTACAGTATGTTGGCAAAAAGAAGATTGATCAAATAGCTGTGGATTATGTTTCAAAACTGGTTGGTTTCTTTAAAACATAAAGCAGTTGTTACCTTTTGGAAAGTCTTATATCAAAGATGGGCAACCTTTTGAGAAGAGGGGGGTTGAGGAACCAAAGTGGGTGTGGCCACATTTCATAAGAAGGTGGGGCTTTGTTAGATGGTCTTTGTCTTTAACACTAACGTGCCTATGTAGAATGTGCCTAGTTAGGCTTATATTATAATTTTCATGTGTTTCCACTCCTCAGAGTGACAGGAAAATATGCTGTCAGTTTGCCACGATCAGAGAGAAACTCCAACAGTTGCAAAAAAGAGAGTGGGTTGTAGACTGCCTACCCCTCTCTAGCCCTCAGGTTTTTGTGTGTTTGGATTTTCATGGGAGCTGAACATAGTTGTAAAACAAGTATTCATGATTTTCAGAGTAGACACATTTGATGTTTCATTTTCTGGAAAGTCATCTAGTGTTAGCCCACTCCATTGAGTAGCACCATGTCCAACTGTGGATTGGGTGCCTAACCATTTTCTAACCATGGTTAAGCCAGAGTGGGACAATTTTGAGTGGTTGGGGGATCAAGACCTCAGTGGATAAGATAAGGACAAAAAAAGGGAGAGGCTGTAAAATATATATATATATATATATATATATATATTGCTTTCCTGTCTTTTTTCTTGAGATTTTGGAGTGGGGCAGTGATTTTTCCTTTATGTATGTATGTATGTATGTATGTATGTATGTGGCTTATTTTAGGTTTGCAATACAGTTCTTCTATATTTCCCATTTCCAGTTAGCAGGAAATAAAAATTCAGCAGCCCTGAGGGAACCTGAAGGTTACAAATTGCCCATGTCATCTTAAGTTTTAGTACATTATTTCAAATACTGCTGGTTCAGTTTACAGTTTAAAAATTGAATGATAGTGATTTGTATCAGTATGAAAGTAAGACTTTGAAATGATAGAATGGAAGTGGAACTTTGAAATTTGAATGTGTTGGCATTTTCTCTCTTATTTTCTCTTTCTCTCTCTCTCTTTTTTTTCACTTCTCTTTTTTTCCCTCTTTTTCTTTTGTCTGTTTTTTTGGCTTTAGTATGGCCAAAAATGTCAAGATGGTGGCTGTGGCAGTGTAATCAAGGCTTCCTGTTTTTTATGTGTATCACGCATGCAACACATAAAAAAACAGAGCTTCAATCGGCCCATTGTGGCAGCCATCTTGAATTATTTTACCATACCCTTTAATCTAGTCAAGATTAGAAGAGAGGAGGAAAGAGAATAAAGGAAGCATAACAATGTCCTTCAGCCACCTGATTATTTATAATTATATCCTGCCTGTAACATGGCAAAATCCAAAAGAGTGGGTGAAGGGAAAATTTTGCTTAAGCAGAAGAGTCTTCTGTTCATGCAAAGGTATGTCCCTTATTTTCTCCAATTTGCTAGTTCCTCAAGCTCTTTGCAAATGGCTTTCTGATTCTCAGAAGCTATTTTCCAGAGAGTTCTAGAGTCACCAGTAGAAAAGTCAATGTAGGTGAATGGAGCTATACACTTTGTGGATAGAGTTCAAGCCATAAGAAGGGGGAAAAAATTCCTGGAGGGGCAGATCAGAATAGTTTAAACAGAATTTACCCACTATTTCATTCCAAAAAGAACACCGTACCTTTCTGGATGTTTATAAGGTATACCCCTACAATACACTCACCTTTCAAAAACAACTGTTTATCATGTACTAAAGCATTTTTTTAAAAAAATCAATTATTTATTGAATTTTAGAAACATCCGTTAACTTTTCCTGAGAGACGTTATGTACCAATAAGAGTTAGTAGCAAATATATTTGTAAACTGTAAAACGATTATAAAACAAATTACATGCTAACCCCCCCTAAATTAAACTTTAAAATATGTAAAGAAGCAAAACAGAAAAAACTGTGAATACTCCTGGCTCTGGCCCATTAAGACTTTGAGATAACTCTTCAGAAAACCCTTTCATATAAATTAGTGAAATTGGAGTGTATTACAAAAGTTTTTTTCAGGAGCTGAAGGCAGTTTCAGTTGAATTAATTAAATTCTGTTAAAATGTATGAATGTGTGTGATTAGTGCCATACAAAGCAAAGCACGATTACTCAGAATTATGCTCTAATAATTTCAAGTAGGATTTATTTTCCAGTAAATGTGCCTAGGATTTCAACTTTACCATTTGCTAAATAATACTGCTAAGTAGGTAGGTGAATGAAAACTGAGGGTTTTCCATTAATAATTCAGATACATTCTTTTTCCTCTATATTTGCAGCTGGACCTAATATGTCGGATGATGGAGAACATTTGGAGGAAATACAGTCTTAGTTCCTTGTCCTTCTCATTGTAAGCAGTTAATTTCCAGGAGATATTTCATGATAAAAGAGAGAGACAGAAACAGGAAAGAATTAACAGTGGCAAATGTATTACTTCACACATTGATAGGCTTCTTAATGAATGAACAGTAATCATGACTTAGAAGTTTATTGTTATTACTTGTTGAATCTGAGCAACTCATAGTACCTGACTATCACATCTGGGCTCAAAAACTTAGCAAATTGGACCAGGCTGGGAGGCTAGATGGGGGACCCCCAGGAATCTGAAGGTTTGTAGTCTAAACTAGAAGAAGGTAGTTGCCAGGAAAACTGCCTATTCACCAGGAGTCAAGATCACCTTGAAAATGTCTCCTTTATTTTTTTGTTACCTATGATTTAGTCCAAATGAATGCCTTTATTGTCAGTTTCCATCTTACAGCAGAACCACTTCTGAAACTGAAAAGGCTTGTTGTTCATGGTATGGCACGGGGAATCCAACTGTCCAAGAGACCTGTCAGAAATACCCCTGAGGACTTCCCTAGCTTTGTGTTGTGTTTCTGAGGCTTGACCATCGAGTGAATGCAGCAGACATTCATGGGCTGCTGTTATTATAGTTATCAGTGCTATGTTAGCATTTATTTTTAAGTTGCCTTTCCAATAGATGAGGCCAAGGTGGCTCTCGAGAACAGCAAAAAGTACTTCATCTAAGCAGAGGCAACCAGAGATCAGCACAGTGCTCTTTGTTATGTGGTGCTGGTGGTGGTGATTGTTGCTATCCTTTTTACCAAAACCCCCACAATATTTACAAAGTTCCATTTAATAAAATGACCTCACAACGTAACAACTAACCCAGTCAAACTAATTTTTATAGCTAAGATCAAATGCTACTGTACATATTTCAAGGAGCTGCCTGCAATACTGTAGGGCATCCGTGCATCAGTAGTTAGTATAAAACAAATGTAAGCTAAAAACTGCCCATCTTAGAGTAGAGTAAAAGATGCAAGCCCTGTGTTAGCATGTTATTCAGAAAAAAGGGTCGTAAGGGGGTTTAAAGACCACCCAACTGTCACAGGGACAAAGGGAAGGAGGGAGCAGATTCCAGATTTGGGGAGGAAGTTCCCTGAAAGCCTGCAACTTGGAAATTGCAACCTAGAGCAAGGAACAAAAAGAAGGCCCTGCCCAGAGGAACATAAGGCATGAGTAAGATTGTAGGGAGAAATAAAGGTAGATAGCTACTGGAGGATTTCAAGCACAGGGCTGTAAGTACAAGGACCAGCCTTTTATTCTACCCCTGTCAGTTTCGTATTTTGACTCCAAGGTGCTTTCTAAGCACCCAAGAACTCTACTCCAGCACTATTAAGGCTTCCAGATAACATGACAGACCTTTTGCTTGGGCCCTATTCACCCAAGCCTGCAAGCAGCTGAGGCCCAGAACTCCTAGTCACATGGGAATTCCAGATAATGAATAATCTGGCTAAGAAACTCTTCAAGTTTCTTCTTGAAGACTTGAATATAAGCTCTGAATGCCCCCAGGACTACCTCTCTGTAGACTTCTGGTAATAAGGAGGGCTCTGCAGTGCTGCCGGCTCAAAGGCAAAATGGGAGAGGAGGGGCACTGCTTATGGGGCACTGGTCTTCAGCTTTTTAAAAGAGTGGGGTCTTTTCCTGGGATTACACTGCTGCTCCCCACAGATGCAGCGAGATGCCCAGAAAAGACATATTTGCCGTAGTAGTTGCAGGTAGCTTCATGCACGCTCTAAAGTATCTCCTATTTGATCTCTGTGAGTTAATTATACAAAAAGCATTTTGTGAAACTGCCTAATGTGGTTGTCCTTAAAATATTCTAAAGTAGCACTGTGCTAGTAGCAGTTGTGTCTCCTTCAAGTCAGACTCAACTTCTGGTGGCTACATGGACCTGTCTATGTTGTTTTGTTAGTAGCAGTGTGGAAGTGGTATTTCATTGCCTTCTTCTAGGATTTTTTTTTTTTTCAATTTCCCAAATAAGCCTAAAGCTCTGGATTTCCTCATGATCTTCCATCCAGGTACTAACTAGGCCTGACCCAGTTTAGCTTCTTTGAAATCATCTAATCTTGCCACTTGCTGTGATTGCTAATAGCAGTAATTTGACCTAAGAAAGTGAATGTTTTGCCTAGAATTGTCTTTCTCTAGGAATTCTGGGTTTTCTTCTCTGGTTCTGGGTGAACAAATGCCCTGCTTAATATGTACGTGCAGACGCACGAAATAGCTAATTGAACGGGTCAGAATCCAATATTTACTAGACTTATTTGTTCCATTGCTTGTGGAATAGAGTTGATAAACAAGCTTAGATTTCTAAAGTGAGAAATGTGTGGTTTAAATGCAACTGTTTAGCTTGACTCTTCAAGTTCTTTCTGGGGCAAATCATCGATCAGATCCATCACCCCTCTCATACTGCTAAACCTTTTGGGGGGGGGGAAATAGTCCTGCTTCTCCAAGTGCAGCAGGAGGAGGGGCAGACTAATTCCCTGTCTCCTTCTGTGCCCTCATTTTCCTTCCTCCCTCTGCAGGAGAAGACCTTTGAAGTGAATATGATTTATGAAGTAGGACAACATATTGTAAGGGGCTAGGTTGGCCTGCTGTCTCCTGCTGTGCAGCATTTGCATTTCATGTTCTTGTTTTTTTGTACAGCAGGCAACAAGGGAAAGCAAATGAGATCATCGTGTTCCATATTATGTGTCAGATTCTGCAGGCCACCAGTGGGATGTGTTTGCCTTTGCCCCCAGGTGAGCTGTAGCTTCATCGGCCTAGAACAGCCAAGCTTAACTTTATGCCACCCCAAATTTATATATTTTTTAATTTAGAAAATGTGTATGCTTGCCCATCTTATATTCATAACCCTGGGCAGCTCACAACAGTCTGCAAAAACAATATGATAGAATCTCTATCAATAAAACAAAATTTAAAAACCATAATATAATAATTGAGGCATCATATAAGAAACTCATGAGATAAACCATACCTATATTGGCTTCATCTGACATCCCAGCCTAGCACTTGGGGGAAAAGCCCAGTCTTCATGGCTTCCAAGAAGGCCAGGAGGGTCAGGATCCTCCAGATCTTGGTGGACACTGTTCCATAGGGCAGGCACTACAGAGAAAGCACCGAATTGAACTAAAGTTTTCTTTCCTTCACCCTGGAGAAGGTATATGTGTGTGGTCACTAAGAATCAACACTGACTTGATGGCACATAATCAAATCAACTGTCAGTTAGGAGATAATAGAACCTGTAATTTAACACATGTAGGGGAACATCAGCTTTGGGGAGTTTTGACTTGAAGTGTTGACCTGGGATTGTGGAGATTTGTATTTCAGTTTTGCTAAACTATGAAGTTCAGTAAGCAATCCAGAGCCAGATGTTGAGTAGTTCAACAACCCTTTGTTGATCATTTTCTATAAACTTTTCTAATAGTGGAACTCCATGTCACTTTTCAGCAAAGGGTCTTTGGGCCAAAAAAATACCCTAATCAGAGTAGCATCCTTGAAAAGAGCAGTTGTTCTTGTAACATTTATCTAGGAGCAGACCCACTTCTTCTAAGAAGAAACTTACCAATGTCTTAACACCAAGACATTGCTTCATAGCTTGCCAAAGTGGCTAAAGGTTATAATTGTCCCCAAAACATTTGACTTGGTTTTTAATCCAATTAAGATGGGTCTCACCAGAGAACTTGGCTAATCATTTTGTCCATTGTGAAACCATTATGAGTTGTTGTGTAAGACACTTGAGGCTGACTTCTGTCAAGTCATGAGTGTTTATTTCATAACTGGTTCATTGCTGCTTTTGATAAGTCTGAGGACAGATGAAAATGTTAATGTCCCCTAGATTTTATGGAGAAACAAGTTTTTGAAAAATAGAAATAATTACAGAGCATTACTTCTTAATTGCTAAAGTTTCTTTTTTGGTATTGATATGGGAGAAAGAATATTATGTAGAAGCTTTTAAAGCGAAAGCCCACTCCTGCTTTTAATTGGCAGATATGCCTTGTGACCATGGCCAATGATCATATGACATAGCTTAAATGCCATTAAAGCTGCAGAAAACTTACATCAATATTGAGGTACTTATCTTCTGCATTGGTCCGTTGTTTTTCTACCTGGGAGAAACATCGATGGAAGAGATTCCAAAAGTAGTATAAGATCATTTCTATATATATATTGTTCACCACACCAATCCTACACACCAGATCTAAGTCATGTTATTTTCTCATTAGAAACAGAATCCATAAATGTCACATTATAGATTCTCTCAACACCACTTCTCATTTACTTCATTCTATGGTTTCCAAGGGAAGTTGCATTTCTATTCATAGCTTCATTAATTTCTCCCTTAATGCAGGATTTCACACTCTTCATTTGGAGATAGGAATGAGGTGCTTCCCTTTGCACACAGTCCTGCAGTACGTTGACCACGGAGTATTGCATCTAACAGAAAAGTATGTCATGAATCTTTGGAAAGGTAATGTTCCTTCTGCAGGCCAGAGAATTTAGCAGACACCTTTGGACAGAAACAAGCAGCAGGAGTGGGGAATCCCAGATAATGCAGCCTGTGGTTTTAAATTGGTGGGTGAACTGGGAATTCCCCATGAGCCACAGTTGTAAGGCCATCAAATGCTGCAAGTTTCAAAAGACCCAGAAATACAAAAATGAAAAAAAAAATCATTTTTTTCCTGTTTGCATCTGGCTTGTCTATTCATTGTTTCATAAGAGAAGGCAGTCACTTCTTCCATACTTGTCAAGATTTCGGAATCGTGAGAGAATGTGACTGATCGCAATTTGTTTATCCTTTAGTTGTTAAATGAAAGATAGAAATTCATTGGATACAGCTTGGTCACACAATGCTGCGAAAGAAGAAAAAAATGGCTAGCTATTTATTTAGCTACCTACCTACCTGCTAGACAGCATATTAAACTGAGTAGCTGTAAGAGGTTAATTGTAAAGCCCTCTCTTTGTCTTGTTATACTGGATCCTGATTACTAGCTATATAGGAATTGCAAACTAGTGATTACAAACTAGGGTGTATTGCAGTCACTGTTAACTACCTTTTGCTTAGCAATAATATGTGTCATTCTCCTGCATAAGAGGAATAAAGCATGCTAGTCATATTTTGCATTCCAGTAAAATGGAATACGTTTGCAAAGTAAATGTCAATTGGAGTAAACTAAACTGAACCCAAACCAATGTTACATAGTCTGGATATTTTTCCTATCTTTTTGTTTTTAAGAATTAGACAACACTGAAAAGAATGTGAAGCTCAAGTTAAGTATCCTTACAAGGCTTCCCCAGGTAACTATTAACTAACTTCCATATTTGGTCAGCCAACCTTGGATCTGTTTGCAGTAAATTTATTTTTGGTTGCTCTGGGTAAGGTCAGCCAAGAACTTCTGTTCTCTTTGATCTGCACAAATCTTGGGAGCAGTGTTTAAAGGTGGATAAAAGTAGATAAGCACTGAGCACAGAACTACTTTCTTAAGTACCTACCAATAGTAGCATCTGATATTCTACTCCCCTGAGTGTGGAATTTAGATGTAGGAGTGAGGGACTGAGGAGCTTGCTACAAGTCACACCATCAGTTGAATCCTATGGCATGTTTGCTTTACTTCCCTTGAGTTCAGTGGGGCATATTCCTGAATAATGGCACATGGCTTAGATGAAATCCTTGTCTTTCCCTTTATGAACTCAGTCTTAAACTATCTTTTGGATAACCAAGAAAAATAGCTGCCCATACTATGAACTTCCCTTACATTTTTCAGTGAGATGGACCTGTACTGATACAAATTCTCAAAAAACATCCCAAGGTCTTCATTGACAGCTCTAACAAAATACATATTTTGGTATGAGTAATGAAAGTTCAACAGTATTAATTTTGTCAACCAAGTCCCTCAAGACTAAGGGCACCTTAATTCCTTCTTCCTATTTGTTAGAAGAAGGATGGAGCTTTTGGCCAACCTTTCAATTCTGTGCTTCTTGGTCCTTCCAGTTGAGAAACTCATAATGTTGCAAAGCTGTTGCTTCTCTTCTGTAAGCTACAAATTGAACTGCAGTAGATTTTCAGGGCACTGAGGAGGGTTGCGCTGGCCTTGAAAATATTTCCTGCTATGTTTTATCTATATCAGTCTGATGGATCATAGCTGGAGAGGCAAGGAAAGAATAATTACTATTCCTTGTCTTTCTCTTTCTTCCTTTTCTAATACAATATAACAGCAGGATCTTAATGGGAATGGCCTTATTCTTCTTTTTAAATGGCTGGATTACAGCTCTTTTTCCATCTATCTTGCTGAGCTCAGTTGCAAGCTGAGTTATCTTAGAAAAATACCCCATTTCAAAGCAACAGCTTCATTTAAAAAAAACAAAAACATGTTTCTGAGAGATAAGAGAAGCTTGGTCCAAAATATTTCCACCACCCTGTCCCAACTTCTGTAAACTCTGGTAAGGACTTTGGAAGTTGGGAAAATTTGGGCAACTTTTCAGAAACAGATTTTCCTCCATCAGCTATTCAAGCCTTTCACTAAAGTGCAAGAACCCCAAATACCATTATTGTTTTAATAGGACCTGAGCAGCTCTTTCACTTTTTTGACACCCGCAAACACAATCTCAATACCCCTACTGTTTATGGAGAACTTAGAGCTAGAAGCAGTGCAGTTCTGGATCAACCAATACATCCATATGCATTCTTTTAAAGAGAAACATGTTTGCAGCTATTTATTAAGAGTGTTTATGAGAAGGCTCTAATGCCCAGAAAGGTGGAAGGAAGGAAAGAAAGAAAAGAGGATGATCATCAGCAAGATTGATGGACTCAGCTACAGTGGTGATAAGAGCACCATTGGAAGACCTGAAAGACCAGGTTAGGGACAGACCATCATGGAAAAAGTCTGTCTATGTGGTTGCTAGGAGGCAACACTGACTTGATAGCACCTAATCAATCAATCATTCAATCAAATCAATAAACATTTTAGGGGGGAAATTGTGTTGCAGGAAATAAACTGGAAGTAAGTGCAGAAATATCTTCTTATCATATGCTTGACTCCTGAAAACATTTAAGGAAAAATATATCTACATTTCTGTGGCTAGGGTCAATACAACTACCTGTTCAGTACACTATTTCTGAATTGTCTGTAGAAGCCTAAGTGGATCTGTTGGTCTAAAAGACTTTAAACTTGATTGTCTCTCTCAAATTTCTTCCGGTAAGCTGCTGGGTCTATTTCAAGAAACAAAGATGACTTGAACTTTCTTACAGAAAAGCATTCTTTATTTGGCTGTATTGAAAAAAAACAAAGCCAGTTCTGTCTTATCACTGTACTTTTTGTTTTAGAGAGTAGAGAAAGTCAACAAAATGGCATTTTCTTCAAGAACAGCTGTGGTGCGTTGGAAATTAGTTTAAGCTATAGGGTCAGATTTCTTCAGTCACATTTTAATTTAGATTTTGAATCAGAATTACTATTATTCTGCATCTATCTTTGTAGCCGATTAAGAAACATTTGTCTCTTGTTGGCTCATCTATGCTGTTTCAGCTAGTACAAGTTTACATCATGTTTTTATTGGTGGACTGGAAGAAAACTAATCATGCTAAAAGTACAAGGATGCAAGAATCTGGCATTCAGATTCTTGAGGACAGATCTGTATATAGAGAGTGATGGAACCCAGAAGGAGCCTCTGTCATAGTACTCTGTAGATCTGCATCCAATTATTTGGACAGTAATTGAATTTCGAATGTTAAAGAATGCAGTGGGTAAAAAATTTTAAACTGTAAAATATGTTAATGGAGTTCTACCTGTTCTACAGGTCCAATCAGCACGTGTCCTATACATAAAATTGCTATTTACTACAAGTATATGGTTTATTATGAATGATTATGTGGCTATCATTGCAAAAGGAATTTTCAAAGCTGCATTTCCTATTTGATATTTAAACATTCCCCCCCCCCTTTTATTTTTTGGTCATGCAGGCAATTGGTTGCAAGATTTGTCAGCTGTGGAACCACTCTTTAAGCTCAAATGCTATTGCAAGGAACTATGTTAAACTCTTGTTTGAGAAACTCAGAAATAAACAGGTAAAAGCTTGATCACATGTTGAAAATATGGGATAGTTTGTCCCCTCCCCTTTTTAAATAAAAAAAATCTGACCTCCAGGGTCACAAGAACACAGAAATACTGAAGTGACGTTCCCAGGAGCAGGGCTGAAATTTTCACACACTCCCCTTCTTAGCTTTTTGGGAGTTGAAGCCTCCAATAGGTTTAATAATACTTATCTTGCTTCTGATTCTTTTAAAAAAAGAAATCCCCGAAGCATGGAGCCAAATTATAGCCATGAAATGCATTTTCCTTTGCAGTGCAATATATTATTCACGGACAGAATATCAGCCCAAATTGAGTTTCTCCCACTCAACTATTTGGTTGCTATCATAGTAGAAATGGAGCATCAAGGTAACTCTACTTCTATATTCTTCTATTTTGTTCCATTTTTTTTTTTTAGCTTAAAAAGACATCCCAAATTGCTATCATACTGTCCATACATAAAGCTTGAACTGGAAGAATTAAAGAGGCCAGCTAGTAACTTTATTTAATGCCTATGTTATGCTTGTTAAATGGTTTAAAATGTTATTCATTTTATACCAATTACATGTGGAAGGCATCACCATCAACATTCTTGTGTTGGATGTGCAAGGAAATGAGAAGCAAGCCCAGTGGTACAATGACTGAGAGCTGCTGCATGTTTCTGACATGTCCAGAACCACTTGAAAGGAAAGTGGGTGTTTCAGTAGCTCTGGTCTGCTCAGCTGAGTAGTTTGGGGCTTAAGAAAATTAAATGTTTGCAAATTTTGTTGCAATTAGTCTAATAAACATATCCCCTCACTTTGTTCTAAAACCGAAAAGGTGCAAGAGACCTAAAGAAAAAAACAGTGCTTCTATTAGTTAGGATATCCTTGTTTGTCCAGCTAGGGTCAAAAGCAAAACATTACAACCTGAGATTAGCAGTTTTAGTTTTCCTAATGACACCAGTGATCAACATTCAGCCCACTGTATTCTTTTTCTGCATGATCATTCCTAGGATGGGCAGCCTCTATGGAACAAACCAACATGAATGCAAGATTGGTTGAAGAGTTGGCACTGAAGCACACTACAATGCTCTTAGGTCTTTAATTAATTTATTTATCAAAGACAAAATTATGAATTTAGTAGCAGCAACATTTTGTTATGCCTTTTAACATATGCAACTGAATGCTAGAGGAGACGCTGGCATGAAGCTGTAATATTATGTCCAAGAGAAATACCAGAACTTCTGCTTGCTGCGGGACTATAGTTCATTATAATGCGTGGGCTCAAGGCTTTTAAAAGTCTAGTGGGTGTGCAAAAGGGTTTTGGTTTTGAACTTGAAATGAGCTGTTTCATTTTCAAAACAGTTGCCTCACATAGAAACAGCCTGTTCCAAATATGAAGAAACTTTTTTGAATTCCAAAAAAGGTATTTTGGAATTCAAAATAGTCTGAGCTTCAAATGTTTTGTACATCATTAGAATGGGTGCACTGAAATATTCTGAAATAAATGTTATAATCCACGATTAAAATGAATGGGATTTGTCTCACTATAATATTACAAGTATAAATTGAATCTGGATTCGGGATAGTATTTGTTATTAATGGGATGCACCACTGAGGCTCCAAAGCAAGGACAGTTATGAGCAATTACAAAATTATGATTGTCTTCTAGAGTAAATGTTGGTATAAAATTTGCTAATGTTAGCATTCAAATTTTTACCTGTAAGATTGAATAATAGAATGGTGCAGTAAGGATCTGGCAGCTATTTATTATGTATAGATGAGATACATCCATGAACAGGGTACGATAAAATATTGCAATTGGGAAATCAAAACTTTTATGTAAATGGAAATAAATGTATAGATTTGGAATTAGGTATTGATGTCTTTATTTATTGTATTGAGGTCATATACTTTGTGTGTACTTTCCAGTTATGTAAGTATACTGCAAGAAGAGCAGGGGGTTTTCTGCAAGAAGGGGGGGTCAAAAAAAAGTTAAGATTGCATCCCAAACCATGCAAAAAAACTCTTTTTATGTGCATTTAACTTTAATTGTGGCTGCCATCTTGATTGTTTGATGCTCCTTTAGCTACCTTTGAAGTGGAGCTAAGTGCTACTTTAGCATATTAGCATCAACGTTCTGTAGTATTCATAACTTCTAACAACCATTAGCTGGTGGTGGGAATTTTTAAAAAGCTGTTATTAATTCCATTGCAATCGCCTCAGTTCCTTCTACTAGAACTTAAAGAAGCTTAGGTTTGGGGTATAGCTACAACTTCTGAATTTACACCAAGAGTAAGCTACCTAGTCCTTTTGAGAAATTTTGAAACTGATTCCCACCAATTTTATCCATATGGTAGATAGAGAGGGATTGTGGGACTTGTAGACGAAACCATCTCAAAAGCACCAGGTTGCCTTTCTCTGCTCCACACTGAATGTCATAATGAAAAAAGTTACTGTTTGAAATGCAGCCATATAATTTGTTCTCATTTCTCACCTTTATTTATATAGCACTAGACAAATCCATTTGTTTTTTTAGCTGTCATCTGCAACAATAGAAAAGCTGGTGTTCAGCTGGAAAGGCTTCAATTTCCCCCTTGCTGGCATACCATTACATTGATGTAATTTTACTTGTTGTTGTAGAAAACCTTTTATTCAAGGGTTTGACTTGTAGTAAGCAAATGGTAAAAACCGTAGTTTTGGTGTCCCGTTCAAACAGGACAGAAAGAATCAACTGTGGAGAAATACAGCTGAAGTCTGTTTCTTCAGAGCTGTGTTTTACTTGTGTTACTGATTTATCAGATTTCTGTTATCCAGCCTTTTGTTTAGAACAGTGTTTCTCAACCGTGGCAACTTTAAGATGTGTGGACTTCACCTCCCAAAATTCCCCAGCCAGCAAAGCTCCATTTTAGCCCCCACCACAATCTGTGAGCTCGGTTGGGCTGAGAGCAAGTGATGGCCCAAAGTCACCCACTGAACACCTTGGCTGAGGGAGAACTTGAACCCTGGTCTCCCTAGTCCTAGTCCAACAGCTTCACTGTTGAATATGAAAGTACATATTAAAACAGACATAATATGATGGAAGCATCTATAAAATTTGAAAGGATGCAGCTTTTGTTTTGAAAAACACTGTCATGTTCCTTCGCTGCGCTGCATAGCAAGGCTTCCATCATTAATACAAATATTAAGAATTACTGAAGTGTTTAATACACAACCTCAGTCTATTTTAGACTTTTATTTATGCAGTGAAAGAGTTTCACATGCTTTGTATGTAAAAAGAAGCTACAAATTATCCATGTTTATAAACGACCATATGAAATGGGAAAGATGAAATCATAACTCAAGATTATTTTATGAGCACGTAAGATTGCCAAATATTACATAAAATGTCTTCACGCTAAATGAATAAAAAAGTGTACCGATGACAATATTTGCCGTAACATAAGAAACTGAAAACGTAATGATCTTTTTGCCAACACTTTTTTTTGCCAACACATTATTTATTTCATTAGGTGTTTTGGGAAATCAGGAAGTTTCAAGGAGGCAAAAACATCACTTGAGCTACTAAGCCGTAAACTTGCATGCCCGCCCCTTTTATTCCGAGGAACTTTTATGGAATAAAAAGACCATTTCTCTGAGCAGTTCTCTCCTTCAACAGAAGTTGAGTCACTTAGATTTCAATCGGTTTCACAACTGGCTTTCTCATGTGCCTCATGTTTGCACTGGGCTCGCTTGGCTTGAATGGTGCCAGCGCTCCATAGGGCCGTGGCAGTGGGAGAACATTTTCATCATCAGGGATGTAGGCGTTAGGACGCTGCTCAGCTGTAGTGTGTACAGCAGTTGGCAAGGCAGACTGTTCCTCTTCCAAGGCTTGCTGGAAAAACAGAACATCGGGGATCAATTAAATTTGTGCTTCTGAGTGCTAGGATACTATTCTACCGTGAGATGCATTGACAGGCTACAAGTGAGTTCCTCTGTTCTCTGGCTTCAGAGCAGCTGTATAAGCCTGCTTGTTTGACTGAAGGAGAAAAGGTGGTTTTCCTATTGTTTTCCCATTTCTCTTTTGCTCAAATCTCATAGTATTAGTATGTAGCAGTTTCCCTGCCCACAGATTCCTCTGGGTCACATTTAGGATACGCCCATGTCCCAGTAATATTATAAAGCTTTGATAGTGACATCTGTGTCTAATAATCAGGAACTGGTGTCAGATTAATAGAGGAAAGGCATACTTTAGGCGAGTGTTTCTCAACCTTGGCAACTCGAAGATGTGTGGCTGGCTGGCTGGCCGGCCGGGGAATTATGGGAGTTGAAGTCCACTCATCTTCGAGTTGCCAAGGTTAAGAAACACTGCTTTAGATAATGCTCATTTGGTCTGGTCATGGAAAAAGGGCCTGTTGAAAAGTTCCCTCCCTCAAGAGGTCCTTCTCCATAATAGCCCTCCCACTATGGAATACTCCCCCCACCCAGTAAAGTATGGGCAGTCTTGTCTTGCTGCAATTTCATAAACAGCTTAAAGCTGTTTTATTTCAATGCCATCTTGGTTCTAGCTGTCTGACATCTATCTTAGATTTTATCTTTACTTTCCATGGTTACTTTTTTATTTCTGATACTGTTCTAGATTTAGTTATTTATTCATAGTTTTTTAATTTGTTTCCTTTTCGTTTAATTGTGTATACTGCCCAGGATTTCTTGGGATTGGGGTGTCATAAATATTATAAATAAATTTTAAAATCCTCAATTTTCAGTTGTCAAAATACTCCAAATAGTATCGCTAATCCACCGTTCTTTAAGGTGTCAATTCCAGGACCATTGACTGGTGTGTGTGTGTGTGTGTAAAGCTAATGGACATGCTATGGTGATAAGATACTATTCATTCAAATAATCAATAGATTGATGCATGTATAAATCAGCCATTACAGAAGAAGCTTCCGTGTATAAAACATGTTACATGAGCACATACAAGTAATATGTGTTACAGATTGTAGTCTTACATGTAAACTGCTAGCAACTACTACTACAGGCAGGCTAAGCATGAGCATAAAAGGTGTCCCTTAAGAATCTTATCATTCTTTGAGAATGTCCCCAAAGGCAACATTCTTGGGTCGCCGAAGAGTGCCTTGCCATCAAGAACTCCAAGGACCCTCAGCTTCTATTGCTTATGATGTTCCTGGGCTCAGCCATTATTAGGAATTCTACGCTGCTTTGCCACTGACCAACGCTTTTGATCATTCTGCCATGGGAAAAGCACAAATTATCTGAGAAATTCTTGAGAGACTCACTTTTGCTTTGGTTTCACTTGCTATTTTACGTATTTTTTCGTCCCGCAGAACCTTGAGCCATTCCACCTCTATTTCTCTAGGGGGTGGAAGACCTTTCTCCAGCCGAGAGATAATGCACATTAAAAGCTGTTCTTTGTCCCTCATCTCTTGCTGCAGTTTAATGGCAAGGGCTTGATGCATTGACAGCTCTGCAATGAGAGCCATCATCTTCTGAGTTGTGCTCTTTATTTTCTCTTGCAGTACGTTCATCTGGAAGGAGTAACAGTAAAAAAATGATGCCATCTCTCTCTGCTTCCCTCTCATAAGCCCACACATTTGGGTTTCCTATACTGAGGAACTGCATGGCAAAACTAGTCCATTAAAATTAATCTTGAACCATAACCCTACTAGGAGAAGTCAACTCTGCATATATACTCTGTTCTGTGCAAAATTAAAGTTGGGTCAGAATATGGAAAGGGACACAAAATTGATCACATTGTCTGACTGCAGGCAGTTTTTTGTTCAGCAAGTGGAACCCACATGTTGTATCCAGCACATCAGATGGCCTCTTTTCTTTAAAAATGGCCTTTTTCTATGTTGCGGCAGGCAGAGAAAAACATCTCCCTGCCTACTGTTGCCACAAAAAGCCTAGAATGGTTCATAGATAACTGGTGCGATCAAACCAAACCACAACCCTATTACCTTTTTTGCCAAAATTAACGTCTCCTCCTTGCCATTTTCTGCCTTGACGCTGATTTTCTCTGTCATTCGGGAAACTTGCTCATAAACAAAGTCCTTCTCCAGCAATTTCTCCTCTTTCCGAGCCAGCTGAATTTCTAACTACAGCAAAAGCAAATGTATAAAAGTGCACAAATTCTAATATTCAGGAAAAAAGTCTGTCTTTAAGCCATGTTCCATAATGAGCCTGTGGTTTTGCTTCATAACAATACCACCCTGCTAACCAAGGTAGCCAGTTCTGGTGGTATCCCAGTTACTCCTGGAAAATGAAATGGGAGGTCGGGAGCCTGCCGGGACTGGGAGAGTGCTGAGTGCCCACCCTTTGGCTCTCTAATTTATCCTTACCTGCTGGGGGTACGCATGAAAAAGTGGGAGCTATGCAGGAACTCCATCGTTTCATGAGAGTATGTGGAGATCACGTGGGAAAACATGACACCGGGATGTTGTTTTTAGCATCAGTCTCATGGGTTTCATGCATTTGTCAACGTCTCCCTCTTTTAATCCGGTTAGTATGGAAACATGATTATTTGCTGAAACGTTTATCTGGCAGAATGAATGTTACCTCCTCTATCTTTTTGAAGAGCTCTTGTATAGGGGGGTCTTTTCCAGGCAGCACTCTTATCCTGTTTTCTCTATCAGGGTCTGTGAACACCTTCTCCAGGCTTTTAATTCTGTCCTTGCACTGTGAAAACTATCAAGCAAGATCAACAAATACATCCTAAGTAGCTGACTTGCTAAGGCAGCAGGCATTTTCTTCATAACTGCAAAACAAAATCCTAGAACAATTAAAGATTCTTTTTCACAAACCGAGACCAACTTTTTTTTTTTTTTTTTTTTTTTTGAAAAAAATTC